CTTGGTCAAAAGCTTCATTCTCCGAAGGCACTCCAAGTCTCTTGTAGTGTCCTGCTGGAACTTCCCTTTGTCCCTTCCCACTGCTGACTTGTCCACCGTTCACATCTCGCAAAGTTGCTAACCCTGTATCCCCCCCTTGCGCGGTCTTTTTTACCATTCCACTAATCCCTTCCCACATCTGCTTGACGTTTCCCTCCAGGCCTCCGTTGGCCTTCTGCACTACTTCGTCCCAAATACACTTTTTCTTCTTTTTCACTAGTCCCTTCACCTGTTTTCTCTTGGCCCTGTACTTTTCCCAACTCTCCTCAGACGCCTCACTCAGGTACTGCTTGAAGACTTCTCTACGTTCCCCTATTTAGTCTTTCAGCTCGTCATCCCACCACTTAACCGATACCCCACATCGTACCACCTTCTTTCCCATTACTCTCTCTGCCGTGGCGTTCACTATGGACTCCCACCCTTTAATCACCCTGTCCCCTGCTGCTTGTACGTTTACCTGTCCGTCTTCGACGCTTCTGCGCAGTTTCCTGAAGGGTTCTACACTACCAGCCAGTCCCTTTTGCAATTCATCCCGTGTCCCGTCGTCTCCCAAACGCTCTACTTCCACCGGAACACTTTCCTCTGTTTCTTACTCTCCCATCTTTCTAGATCGGTCGATGTTTGCCCATATGAGGAAGTGGTCGGTCGAACCTACATCTATCGCACTTACGTGCAGCTCTGGAATCTCTGTGCTCCCCTTATCTACAAGGATGTTGTCAAGGATCGAGTATTCATTGCAAATTGCCCGTTGCCTGGTGAACTCCGTCTTATCGCATTCCCTCCTACCGTTCAACACCATCAGCTCGTTGCTTCCCAAGAATCCAAGCATCCTCACTCCGTTGTCATTCACTTTGTCTTCTCCGTGCTGCCCGATCGCCTGTGGTCTACTGGAAGCTTTCCCTACTCTGGAGTTGAAATCGCCCACCGTGACAACTTCTCCCTCCCTACTGAACCTCTGGACAACTTCCCCAAGTTGTCCAAAGTTCTCCTGCGCCTTGCTTGCGACGACGACGGTGGGACGTATACGTTCCCTACAAACAAATATTTCTCACCCCGCTCCCCAGGTATCTTAAGCCATAGGCTTTCCTCGAACTTCGTTTTCACCACTACTTCCACCACGTCAAACAAGTGTTCCTTGACCAGGAATCCGACTCTCCCCTCCCCGCTTTTCTTCGGGTCTAAGCCCTTTCTTGCCTTCCC